TGTCTCCAGCTTGTCCCATCACACTTGTCCATCATGGCCCATGCCTTTGTTAATAAGGGACATCTCAGTGCTACCTTACAAATACATACCAAGTCTGGCCGAGTGATTGTCTACTGCTGCCAACTCTCAGACAAGCCCTTGTCAGCTGTAGACCCAACAGCTTACAGGAGGTGTAGTTGCCTCCTTGTAAGGTCAAAATGTTGCCCTGGAAATGCGGTCAGCAACTGGAAAACGCTGCCGGCTTCTTCAAGAGATGCAGCTGCATCCCAGGCTGCAGGCTGTGCTACTTGTCTGGTCTGTCTCAGCAGTCTCACCCGAGGTTCTGCCTGAACACCTTTCCGCCAATTCCTCCCTGTCCCACTGGGGAGAATCCCCCTGAGGGCTGGCTTGTGTTCTGCCCTCTCCGGGTACACACTTAGCTTTTCGCCTGCTCGCGAATCAGGAGTCCTAATCGTGCACTATAAAGGAACAGGACTTCATTCTTGGTGGGGCTCAAGTCTGATAGCTGAGGATTTTCCTAGAAATGTGGGTAGGAGGACCAGGACCTAACCATGTTTCCTTTGGGAGTGGCATCCGACTAGCACCGCCCTTCGCCGAATTGTTGCTCCCTGCAAGTGGCTAGTTAGCCCACGGCTTTTGCGTGATGTCCTTCGAAGTCCCTCTTCTCTTGGGGCACAGTGTTGCAGGGACATAAGCGCCTGGAGCTGCCCCCCTCCCGCGGTGTCGCTGTGCCCTGTGGGGCCCTGCCCGTAGCCAACTTAAGGCTCCCTCTGGCCGTCAGGCCGCCGAGCTCCTGGAGTGGGAGGCCCGGCCGGGACCCCGGCGGCGGGCGGGGCGGGCGAGGCCGGTCTGACGTGTCTCCGCGGGATTGGAGCCGCCGCCCTATATAGCCGCGGTGGCCCGGGCGCTGAGCCTCGGAGCCCAGCTTCTCCCGCGCGGCGCGGTGTGGCGTGGCGAGCTTGCGCACGGACTGACTCAGGACGCTGCACCCAACGAGTGAGCGTGCCGTGGGCGGGCAGGCGGGGGGCGCGGGCCTAAAACACGGGTGGTGCTCACCCGGGCCGGCCTGGGCCGGCCCCTCCGGGACTCGGCGGGCGGGGGCCGCTACGTGTCACTCCGCGCATGGCCGCAGCGCAGAAACTTTCCCAAGTGTGCGCTAGTTGCTCGCGTCTCTGTCCGGTCCTGCCTCTGTCCTGTCTCTGTCCTTGCTCCAGTCTGGTCCAGTTGGCCGCGCCGGGCCCCGGGCTCCGGGCTCCAGGTTCAGGCGGCTGCGGTGGGGGAGGGGCGACGACCTGGCCAGGTTGGTGACGTGGGCGCCCAAGGGCCCCTCCCCCGCGCCGACCGCCTTTTCCCTTTCATCCCCATGCCAGTCACCGGGTGAGCAGGGATCCAAGCACCCCAACCGAGCCGCCCAGCCCGGCGGGCGAGGGTCTGAACCAGGCCAAGGCCGGCCGCACCTCCACCTGCCACCGACTTAGGTGGTGAGGGTGGCCGCCTGCTCCTCAGTGGAGTTCAACTTGGATGCACCCCAGGGTCCCCGGATGAAAAATACATTACGGAAAAATACCGAATTTGGATGAAAGACTGGGAGGCCGAGTGGGCTACTGTTCCTTTAAGCCTGTCCCCGCCCGCGGGCGCTCTAGGCCTGTGGGAGGGCCATGCTGAGGTGGCATCTGCGAAAGTTCCTCCGCAGGCCAGTCCAACTCCGAGAGCTCTGGGCCTCTGTGTGCCCTGTGTGGGGCGCCCTGAGACCTTGACTTGCCGTCTTTTCTTTGAGCAGGATTAAATTTTATCCTGGTGTTTGAGTACTTTGGGGTAAAAAAAAAGTTCTGTGCAGGATTTCTGTGGACGTGAAAGAAAGCAGCTTTAACTTTGGAAGACACCTGGGTCTCAGCTGGTCTGGCCTTTTGTGCAGTCTTGGAGTCTTAAACCAGGCTGGCATAGAACTTCTGGAGCAGAACTGAGTCCTTTCTGCAGGCTGTGGCCTTTGTATAGATATTTGGCAAAGCTTAGAAGGAAATCAAATACTTCCTAGTGCAAAAGCAGTAAAGTCTTAAATTTTTCTTTTTAGGCCCTTTCAGGGTCTGCTTCATAGCACCAAGCTTATGTTGTCGCAGCTGTCACAACCTCACTTTCTCTGCTGAAAAGACTCTGGGTGGCCCAGTTCTAGGGGTAGAAGAAGATGCTGTTGGCTTTTACATTTTTCCTTCAGTTCTTATTCTGTTGGCTGCTTAGTTACATATTAATATATGACTATCTCTCCCCTGTGGACATTTGCATCCAGGAAAACAAAACCTGAAGTCTAGGTTGAGACTAAGTTGAGGTCTGTGGCCTTTGGTGCTGCTTGACCCCAGCTTTCTGTGGGGATCTTAGCTGTGAGCAGCCTGTGGGGCTGTAGTGTGATCATTCCCTTTGGACGAAAGGGAAAAAGAAGCTGTAGATTTTCCTGTACATCTTTGATCTTTGGGCAGATTCTTAACAGCCACACAGAGAAACTTGAAAACACTGCTCCCCCCACAACTGAAGACTTGAGTTTCCTGTCCCTGGTTGGTCAAAAACTGGGTAGAGGAATATCCAGAGTCCATTTCCATCCTGATAGGAGCACTGTGACTGGCTCATGTCATACATCATGGGACAAACCCATGTTGGGCTGTGGTTCTTGGTAAGGACCTGCCTCAGGTCTCCAGGGAACTTAGCCAATAGAAGAGCAAGATGGAGGCCGTGTTCAGCTGTAGTTACTGCTTTGGGGCATTGAAAACCCAGGTGCAGCTGAATGGGCCTCTGAGAGTTGTCAGAGGTGGCAGAGATAGCACACTAGATACAGGTTAGAGCAGACTTGGGCTGGTGTCTGGGGCCTTGGGAAGCATGAGCTGGCCCTTTATAAAGATTCTTGTCTGCATTTATACATGGGTCATCAGATACATGTTTAAAACTGATTTGTTTCAAATGGGATTTGAGAAAATAAACAAAGCTCTATTGGATGATGCCAGAACACTAGGTGTAAATGTGTTTGGTTGTGATCCATTCTCCCAAGTGCTCACAGATTGCCTTTGAAATCTGGAGGACAACTCTGCCTGATTGCACAAGGGAAGGGTTTCAGCCACTGCTCCAAGTTCTCTCTTGGTGTAGTGACAGTGGGCTCAGCTGTATAGCCTTCATTCTCAAGCTGGGTGGACCAAGGGAAGCAAAGTAAGGGCTTGAAATGGACTCCAGGCAGACAGTGTTTGCTCTGAGGAGAACCAATAACCAATGCAGAACAGGCCTTCCGTGGCTCCATGCAGGTAATAGGGTATTGTACGCAACATTTCAGTATCTGTCACAGGGCACTGAAAATTTGTCTGGTCCTGGAAGAAGGGGGACTTGTGGGTGGCAGCAGAGAGCAAGAATATGAGTGTGGTTGAGGTCTCACAGATGAACCTGACTTGCTGAGAGGGTGGGCTGCTGGGTCTAAGAAACGACATTGGGACCTGAGGCCACTCTGCTGGGCGGGTAGCAGCCAGATATTTTGTGGCCTCAAGGGAAGACCATGTGATTGGAGTAAGCACAGTGCTGGGGATAGTACCACAGAGGGCCTGGTGGGTCCCACAGCATGGACAATACTGTTGGGTTCCGTGCTAGCTCCATGCAGACTGGCCAGATGCAGAATCCTAGCATGTGCTACTGTGACTGTGGTTCAACAGGGTTTTTTTGCTTTACCTTAATCTTTAAAATTTACAGGTTAAAATTTGTTAGCAGTGCTCTCCAGCATTCCCCATTAGTTTGTCCCCTAACCCCCTCAGGGCATATCACTGGGTGGCAAGAGGGGCCCCCAGATCAGCTCCAGCCCTGGGCTTATACTGATTTCCACAGGTGACTCAGACCTTGCTTTTATTATTTTTTTTAATATTTATTTATTTTTATTTATTACATTTATTTATTGTGTGTGTGTGTGGCCAGCTCAGCCCACCAGGGGCCGGGGCTGGCTGGCATGTGGTGCTGGGGATCGAACCGCGGTCCCTGTGCTTTAGCCAAGCTTGTTTCAAGTAGGTGCTTTAGACCACTGAGCCATCTCTCCAGCCCCAGACCTTGCTTTTAAACTTTTGAAAAATCTAAGCCAAAGTAGCCATGCTAGTGTGCTTCTTATGTATGTTTCCTGTTGGCCCTTAACCCAAGTCTGCTCTTGTTGGGAATCCGTGGTTACTGCGGTCATAAGAGACAGTGCTATTCCTGTTGCTTGTTTCTCCATCTCAGAGTGCACGACAGAGTCCACCTTTGTCAGTTTGAAAAGCACACAGGGCTATATGCAGTGGCATGCTGCTGACCCACCTGGAGCCGAGGCAGAGTGACCCACATCTGCTCACTTTATGGAATAATTTTTGGTCCTTCCCAGAAAGACTGTCAAGGTTTCTTCTGATCTTACCATGTTATGACCTGGTTTCTAAGTCCCTGCTGGATTAGAAGGCACTGAAGGACTTTTGCAGGGTAACAGCAAGAAAAACAGGAACTGCAGAGTTACCAAGAACTACAAAAGGATAAGTCCTCTGGCACGCTCTGAGTGCTCAGGAGCTCAGATACCTGCGTTCTGTGTCTACTGATGGCCAGCACTTACAAGGGTGCAGGGAGGGTGGGGGCACCCACAGTACAGCCTGATAATTTTGTGAGGATTAGGCTTCCTGATGCTTAAATCTGAAAGTACTGATATTTAGAGATTATTTCCTTGGATCCCTGGAAGTGTTGTCCTCTGAGAATCTGAGGTGTTTCAGGGATAATGTATATAACTTTTTTTTTTTAATTATAATTTTTAATTTTTTTAACCACTGCCCGAAGAACAGGGCTTTCAATTTTTTTTTTTTTTTTTCCTCTCCTGTGTATTTTGCCCAAAGTATTGGTAGTAGCAGCCCAGGAGTAAAAAGATTTTTACCTTTTCTGGTTGGGAGTAAAAGGATCTGGGTAGAAAGAAGCAAATAAGTAACTTTTCTCTGGTTTTCTTTTCTGTTCTATTCCTTTCTAAATCCCACTAGCAAAAGCTGGCAGGCTGACAGAGGCAGCCTCAGGACGGACTTTCTGGCTACTGACCATTTTGCTGGTAAGTCTGACAAGGATGGGTTTCTTTGGCCCCAGTGTTCATCCTTGGTACCTTTAGACCTTGCCACGACTTCACCTCTACTCCAGCAGTCTGAGTGGTGTGTCCCTCAGCTGTGTCCTGCACCTTCCTTTTTCAGTGTTGGATGTCAGATGTGTTTGGAATTATCCTAATTGGGATCTTGCTGGACAATTTGGAATGCAGAGTTTAGTTTTCTGAACTTGGAAACAAGTCTTATTAGATTTTATTTATTTATTTATTTATTTTTTAATGTATGTGGTACAGGTTCTCACAACACAGTTCAGACTAGTAGTGATCCTGTTTTCAGCCTCCTCAGCACTGGGATTATAGGCAAGCACTATCATACCTGGGCTGTGTCAGTGACTCAGCACACCCTGGGATGGGGCCGGTGCTGGTGCCACATGTGGTACCGGGGATCGAACCATGGTCCTTGCACTTGCTTAAGCAGATACTTAGTCCACTGAGCTGTCTCACCGGCCCTCAGATTGTAAAAATTAAAAACTCACTTTTTTAAATTAATTTTTTTAAAGTTTATTTGGTACAGGATTTCGCTATTTATTTATTGGATACGTTTCGGACTCAGTGATCCTCCTGTCTTAACCTCCCCAGTGCTGGGATTACAGGTATACACCATCATGTCCAGTTTTGGAACCAGCATGGCATTCAGCGCTGGGGATTGAACTCTGGTCCTTGCACTTGCCAGGCAGGTACTTAGACTGCCGAGCTACCTCCCCAACCCAAAAAACTCACTTCTTTATATTAAATTACTTCCACTGTTATACTTCTTGCTGAGTTGGTGTAAGAAAGACAACTTGGTGCATGGTTGGGTGAAAAAATGAACTCTGCCATGTGCTGGCAATGGGAATTATGGGAGAGAAAAATCTAAACGCCTACCTTAGATTGCTGAATTGCACCCCATTTTCCAAGTAAGGGAGCTGTGGCCCTCAGCGCATACCCCACTGAACGTGTTGGCTGTCCTGAACTGAGTAACTCTGCCTTGGGCCAGGTTCTCCCCCCGGGGTGAATCCCTCCCACACCTGCGAGTCAGAGTGGAGGAAAATGATCAGTTCACAGGCATCAGGCACATTGACCATACCATGTGGGCCTGTTTTATTATCACCACAAAGCACTGTGAGGCTGCTGCTGCCTGCCATGCCAGGAATCCTGAAGTTTTTCTGTTTAGGCCCTGGATGAGCCCCTGTGATCCCCGCTGGATTAGGTTGGCTTTTTGTTCCAACTGTTTATGTGATTTGTAGAGTGCTACCGACTGTGTCTCTGAGACCCTTGGGATGAGCACAGTGTTTCTGGATGTCCCTTGTAGACTAACCGCTAGCATCCTGGTATTGGGTCTCCTGACCAGAGGTCAGCCTCCTCAGTGACAAGCAACCTTTAAGAGGACTCTCCTTTAGTTGCATTTATCCATTTGTAGTTTGAGTATCAGCTTACGTCAGAGATGGTGAGGAAAATAAAAATGTGTAGTTTGGTTGGTTAAAATCCGTAGGTTAATAAGTGCATAGAGTCAGCTGTATTTTGACTTTTTCCTCATTGATTCCTTCTCCTTTGTCTTAGTGGCTTACCCGGATTGCGTGTTGGTGTGAGATCAACCATGAGTTCTGTTGCAGTTTTGACCCAAGAGAGTTTTGCTGAACACCGAAGTGGGCTGGTTCCACAACAAATCAAAGGTAATAACCCCTTCGTGTGCTCTTAATAACTCCTAACCCATTGCTCCTTCCATATGTTGCCAAATTCTGTGTGCCTGTCATAGAAAGGCTGTCCTAGTACACACTCTTGGGAATTGCTAATTGTGATGGTAGGGCTGGCCACGTACCAGGGAGGTGTGAGCTGTACGTATGTCCAATGAGTTAGACCATTGGGGTCAGTAGCGGTCTTTGGTGCTGTCCCAGTTGTGGGGCACTAGATCTAGGCTGCTTGTAATGCATCCCAGAGCTCTGCGAGCCTCCTGAGGGGCAGGCCAAGCCTCGTTTCCACACTGTAAGTGACAGGTGGCCAGGACAAGCAGCCCCACTTGGGAGAACAGAATGCCAGGCACAGAGGTAACTTGGACATTTCCGGTGCCTGTCTTAAAGTAGAAAGGAACAGATAAAATTAATTTTAATATATTTCATTTAACCCAGTATGCCTATAACTCTATTCCCGCAGCATCTCTTTGATGTATTAAAGAAAAAAAACTAGTACAATTTTGGATTTATTTTCTTTTCCTTCAAAATCTTGTACATGTTTATAACTACAGAACAATTTTATTTATTTATCTATGTATTTGTGGTACCGGGGATTGAACTCAGGAACCTGCACTTAACCAGGCAGGCGCTTATTCTACTGAGCTATCTCCCCAGCCTCTACAGGACATTTTTATTTAAAGGCTAAATTTTCTAAAAAATTCCTTGATATGTAGTTAAATATTCTAAAATCTTTCCGTTAAAAAAGAGTACATTGTCCTACACCACGTTAAGTTTTCCAATAAGAATATTGAATATTGAGTCTTAAATTTAAAAATTAAAATATGAAGTTCACTTCCTTGGTCATGCTAGCCACATTTTACTGCTCTTTTTTGGGCTAGCAAGCATGAGCCTGGACGCAAGCACAGGCCCGGTCTTAAAGGTCTCCGATTCTGCCTGTGTGTGCACACACTCACGATATTTTCATTGGATCTTGCTTTTGCTGGACGTGGCTAGACCTTGAGGGTTATAGCGTGTACCTCAGTGGAAGTTGTTACAGGCAGTACTGGGCAACTCCATCAGACTGTTCTGTAGTTTAAAGGCCTGCTTAGTGCCTCTAGGTGTGCTATTAGAAAACTCTGGTGGGGCCTGCTCTCAGACTCACTCGCCCAGAAGGAGAGCGGGGCTCCTCGTGTCTGCGTTGACTACTCAGGAGTGGGCTGAGCTGTCGGGAACTGGGAGGGCACTGGGCTTGGTGACGCCCCGGCTCTGTGAGGAGAACCTGGGAGGTTTATTGTCGCTCTGGCCGGACTGCGCCTCCTTTTAGGGGCGGATCCTAAGATGAGCTTTGTGTAGTGCAGAGCACTAAGAGCAGTGTCTCCCCTAATTTGTGTTGGTCGGCCCAGTGGCCGCGTTAAATTCCGAGGAGGAGAGCGACCCTCCGACCTACAAGGATGCCTTCCCGCCGCTTCCTGAGAAAGCAGCTTGCTTGGAGAGTGCCCGGGAACCTGCTGCGGCCTGGAGCAACAAGATCCGGCCCATCAAAGCCTCTGTCATCACTCAGGTAGGGGCACCCTTCCTTGTCGCCATAGCTCCCTTGTGGGAAGTGGTCGGGTCTGGTGCAGGGTGTGGACATGCAAAGGTGTGGGTTGTTTGGGAGAGCATCTTCAGCCTAAGCAGCCTCATCCCAGGTGAGCTTGGGAAAGACCGCTCCTGCCACGCTCGCTGTCATCCCTCACACCCCGAGAGCTGGGCCACACTTTGCTGGAGGAGTGCTTACCAGATGTGTGGGCTCTGTACACCCCTGCACTGAAGCCCAGCCTTCGTGGTCCACGCCAACAAGCCTGCCTAGAAGCCACCAGTTTCTCCGTTTTCTGTGCCTTCCTCTGTGCTGTCCAAGTGTCTCTAGAGACCCTAGAGGCATCAGGACTTCTCTGCGAACTCATGCCTGGTCATCCAGGGAAATTACCGCTCACGTGACAGTAAACCCTGTTCCTCTATGCTTTTAATCAGCCATACACCCATCTTTCTGTTACGACCCTGGTGCTGTCTTGTTAATGATCCTGTTAAATGTTCTGCATGGTGGCTTAGATCCCTGACTAGGTTACTTGACCCCTTACCCTTCCACTTTTACCCCTTCTCAGCCTTTTCTTAAATCCGTGCTTCATTTAGCAGAATCATCTACCATTCTCTGGTACCTGACCAGGCTTCAGGTCCCTGTGTGGAGCCCCCTCTGCTCCTGGTGCAGGTGCTGGGTTTTGTTTTGGTTTTTGGGGGGTTTTTTGGTGGTATCAGAGACCAAACTCAGGACCTTGTGCTTGCCAGGCAAGCACTTATTCCACTGAGCTATCTCCCTGGCCCCCAAGGGTGCTGCTTTAATGTGTGAGAAGGTCTGTGTGTCCTCTCTGCCTTCTCCCATCCCATGCAGATGCTCAGCGCCATGTTTACCTCCTTCCTAGGTGTGCTTTATCTGCACATGTGTTGAGTCTGTAGTTCTCTGCACTAAATGCCAGACCTCTGACCTTAGGTACTGCTCCTGACCCTCTGCTCCATTCCAGGGTCCCTGTAAGCATGGGATTGCAAATGAAGATATATTCCTAACTCTGTATTGACGATCCTCTTTCTTTGACATCTTAAAACTCTCCTTTTTTGCCCTTTTTTTGAGCAGGTGTTCCATGTGCCCCTAGAGGAAAGAAAATATAAGGACATGAATCAATTTGGAGAAGGTGAACAAGCAAAAATCTGCCTTGAGATCATGCAGAGAACCGGTGCTCACTTGGAGCTCTCTTTGGCCAAAGACCAAGGCCTCTCCATCATGGTCTCAGGGAAGCTAGATGCTGTCATGAAAGCCCGGAAGGACATCGTTGCTAGATTGCAGACTCAGGTCAGTATCCCCAGGCCTGGTACTTCTGAGCAGCTGTGTGCTAGTGCCATTTGCTGGCTCCTGATGTATAGGCTAGAACTTCCCTGGATTTTTCCTACCAGTGGGACAGTTCAGTCACTTGGAGTTAGAACAGCAATCTTTCAAACCCCTGGCATTTTAAAGAAAACTCGCTAAGTCAGTGATAGAACTTGGATACCTACCATTACTCAGCCATTTGAGTAAGTACTGAAAATTAAAGTCTTGTCCCAGAATGTGAGACACTGAGTAGGTGGTGGACTTGCTGGGTGTTATATAGAGCAGCAATTCCCAGGCTTTGCATGAGAATCAGGTAGTGAGTTTGTTATTAATACATGTTTTAAAGCCCCTAATTTAGGAGATTTACAGATTCAGATTCTGTTTGTTTAAAATACTTTATTCTTGGGAGTCTGATGCCAATAATTCAAATTTAGTTGAAACCATTGGGGTATATAAATCTGTGATAACATTTTTCCCCACAACCAAGAAAAGAGTACAGAATCTTGAAACATTACAGGAAAGCTATTGCACTGAAGGAATTTATTCAGAAATAAGAGTTCCTGTTCCTGTCACTAAGCTTCCACAAGCCCAAGTGGGTGCTGGCTCTAGAACAGGGTGGCTAGAGTAGGAATCTGACTCTGCTCCGCCAATGACTATCTACACAAGGCCTTGGGCCAGCTCAGAATTCACTTAGCTTCGTGGAATTACATTTTTATGGTGCTAGGAATTTTTTGAGTCAGGGTGTCAATAAGTTACTTCGGTGGCCCAGGCTGGGTTCGAACTTGTGATCTTCCTTGCTTCAGCTTCCCAGAATGCTAGGGTTATAGCAAGAACCGCCATACACAGCTTAATTAAATATTTAATGTTATAAAGGTAAAAATGTTGCTTTTAATTGTTGAGCATTGTGATTGGTGCCTCATAGGCTCTGAAATTGCTGTTGTGCACTTATCAACAGATACTTTAGTGTCATATTTTGTGATTGGGTGCTCTGGCAGAAGGGACATATCACTGGATCATGTAAACGCTCCCATCTCCAGACTGCTCCCTTGCCCCTCAATTTCCTCCCAGGGTCAAACTCTGGGACTTGGGGCTGGGGAGATGGCTCAGTGGAATAAGCGCTTCCCTGGCAAGTGCAAGAGCCTGGGTTCAATCCCTGGTTCTGCCCCCCCCCCAAAAAAAAAAAAAACCTCTGGGACTTCTATGCCAGGCAAGCACTGCACACTGAGCTATTTCTGGGCTCAGCTATTTTAAGGCCAGTCCTTGTTACATTATTTCACCTGTGAATGGCGTATTGTCTGTGTAAAGCACCATGCCATTCTCACAGAGATGCCAAGATGCTTGTATTTGACCTGCCTGTGCTAGATTTCTCATTATCCTAGATACCTTTTTCAGTTGGTTTGTTCCACCCAAAATCTAAGCAGCAAGTTTGGTTATCATCTCAAATCTCTTGCTCCTTAGTAGCACATCCCACCCTTTTTAATCTGTTCTGCTATTCCTCTGATTTCCCGCAGGCCAGTGTTAGGGGAGGACCTGCTATCTGTCTGTCCGTCCGTCCGTCCATCCGTCCATCCACCCACCCACCCATCTACTTATCTACCTACCTACCTACCTACCTACCTACCTACCTACCTACCAGATACGTGATCTCACTGTGCAGTTCAAACTTGTAGTGATCCTTCTGTCTCAGCCTCCCCAGTGCTGGGATTATAGTTTTGGACCTGCATAGCATATCCAGGATTCCAGGGCCAGCACGGCATGTGGTGCCAGGGATCAAACTCGGATCAAACTGACCTTGCACTTGCCAGACAGGTGCTTAGACCACTCAGCTATATCTCCAGCTCAGGACCTGGTTACTTTCATATTCAAGTGGTTTGGCAGGGAATCTTTGGTGTGCTGTGCACTTGGTGTTGTAGCTTGTCCTTCTGTAGCTGCTTCTGAACTTGACCCTTAGACTGGGATGTCTTCAACTTATTCCTTCTTATACAGAGTTCGTTGTAAGATTTTTGCCTGCTTAATAGTTTTGTTGTCTGTTGGTGACCATTGCACTGCCATAAACTTGTTGCTTCTCTGGGGACAATTCCCCAGCAGGCCCTCCCTCCTCCTTTGCTCACTGCTCCGGTGCCCTGCCATGTTCTGTGAAGATAGGTGCACAGAGATCACCCCATCTTGGCTAGTGGCGCTGCTTCAGGTTTGTGAGACAAAAGGAGTCACAAATTCAAACTATATTTAGGTCAGATAAAAAATGGTGGTTTTTGAAATTAAAAATTACTCCTTTCTTTTGGAGTTTTCCTGTCCTTTTATGTAGTTTGGTTCATTTGCTTTGGTTTATTTCCATTTTTAAAAGCTGTGCTTATATTTTCATGGTTGTAGTGGCAAGACTGTGATAGGATACATTGGGGGGAGGCTGGGCATGGTGGCGCACACCTATAATCCCAGCTCTTTGGGAGGCTGAATACAGGAGAATCACTATAAGTCCAATCTATGTAGTGAAACCCTGTAGACCCTTACTAAAATAACAACAACAACACAGAAAGAATACATTGGGGGAGCCTTCCCTTGTGGCCCGTGGATTTCACTCTGTCTCCTGTCCTCCTCCTGGGTGACCATTCCTACCTACTCCTTGGCGTATTCTTGTTTGTGTTTGCAAAGAGAAGCAAAATAGTTTGCCATAAACTGTTTTATACCTGGCTTTTTTTCCTTGCTGTATTTTGGAGGGCTCTTTATAAATACACAATAAATACCTAACACATTAATATCATCCCTTAGTTACTGTGGACTGATCTGGCCTGCAGTCTTCCAAACAACTGGATATGAAGGCTTAAATGAGTCAAGTGGTATAATTTTGAACTAAGATGAGGAACTTCTGGGGGCCATATTTGTTCAGTTTTCAAAACAGGGCAAGCAAGATAACTCAGGACTGGGATTCAGTATCACGTACTGCACTGGCCCTGCCCCTGGGCACCCTGAACCGGACATGGAGACTGTGCATGGTGGTGTATGCACACCTGTGATCCCAGCACTAGGGACACTGAAAACAGGAGGATCACTGAGTCTGAGCTGCTTAGTGAGACCCTGTACCAAATACATCAAAAAAAAGTTTTCAAAACAAAGGAGGGGAATACTGAAGAAAGGCAAGACCTACTCCAGGACTTCTCCAAGTAAGACATTATGTTAATTTAGGAGAAACTGTTATCTCCAGAAAGGTCTCCACCCAAGAATGGGGTGCCTGCAGCTAGTTTTTATCTAATTAATTGAAGTTGGAGCCAGGTATCCTTAGCTGTGGTCTTGTCTTGGCCATTACAGGCCTCAGCTGTGACCAGTGACTCACAGGTTCACTTACGAGTCCGCTGCCCATTTCCAGACAAAGGGTCTAGGCCTTGGACAGACTCACAAGTAAACATGCAAAGCCAAATGGTCAGTATTAGATCCTGCTCAGAGCCACTTCACAGTGGTCTCCATCAAGTACCCATACTCTGGGTATACTGTAATTTATTCAGGCACTCCTATTGATGGGCACTTAGGTGCTTTCCAGACTTTGAGTTTTTTTTTTTTTAATTTTTATTTTTTAAATTTTATTTGTGTGTGTGTGTGTGTGTGTGTGTGTGGCCAGCTCAGCCCACCAGGGGGCGGGGCTGGCTGGCATGTGGTGCTAGGGGATTGAACCGTGGTCCCTGTGCTTTGCTAAGCTTGTTCTAAGTAGGTGCTTTAGACCACTGAGCCATCTCACCAGCCCAAAAAGGTGAAAAAATCTCTCTCTCTCTCTCTCTCTCTCTCTCTCTCTCTCTCTTTTTTCAGAACTAGGGATTGAACTCAGACCCTTGTGCTTTCCAGGGAAGCACTCATTCTACTGAGCTATCTCCCCAGCTCCGCTTTCCAGACTTTGGCTGTTATCAGTTATGTCAGTAAAAATCATGTGCATGTGGTATTGCTGATACCACATGGGATAGATTAATATTGAATTAGAGGGTGACCATCTATGTAATTTGACTACTGTTACTCAGTTCTGCTCCCCTAAAAGATGTGCATCTTGCCAGGTATTTAATATTTTTCTCATTGCTGGGACAAAATACTAGCAATCCACAAGTTAAAGGGCAAAAGGTTTATTTTGGCTTGCAGTTTATAGATCCTGCAGTTTGCAGTCAGCTGTTTCCAAGACAAAGAGGCCTGGCAGAGGAGAAGGTATTCATGGTGTGGCTGGCAGGAAGCTTGTGAGCCTTCTTTACCTTTTTATTCTATCCAGGGCTGGTGGTTGGTGTCACTCACACCCAGGGTGGGTCTTCTGTCATCCACACCGTGAACTATGCTAAATAAATCAGCAGATTACAATTAACCAC